CCGACCGGCTGGCGACCAAGTGTGCGTTTCTCCGCCGGTGATATTTCCGACTTCCAACGAGCGACGGCGAGAAACGGTCCGCCTTCTCCTCCGGATAAGTTTTTTTGGCCGTGTAAACGAGTTCGGGTCCAACAGCACTGCCGGCTGACCTTGAACTCTCATTTACCTCTCGTTCTCTTCTCTCGTAGCTCGACGCTTTTCAGCTCACGTGTCCTCGCTCAGATCGTCGACGGACATCTCGTATCCTTGCGGGCAATCTGCACGACGGCCGTGTGCGCGAGCCACTGTCGGCATCGCGGACACCAGTCGACGTCGTCGTCCGACGACGTTTTATAAGACGCACCACGCGGCACGCACGTACGCGTGTACGCACGCACGCACACAACACCGTCACCGTCACCGTCACCGGCACCGGCGAAGCTTACCACCGACGGACGAGCGCGCTGCTACTGATAGATGGTCGTATACGCTTCTTATCCGTCACATATACGGCAGAAAGAGAGAGGAGAAAGAAGAGACCAGGCGCGAAGGGAGGGGGGTCGGGGGGAGGGAAAAGGCGATGCGGTGAGAGGGAGGGGACGAGAGAGGGTGAGCACGAAACGAATCGGTCGGCGCACGCACGACACCCGGCCTTTACTTTCCTCGGCCGTCGCGTATCGAGGGCGACGCGGTGCCTTAACCTCGCGACCCGGCACACCGACGGGCGTATACGTTTGTGTGTCTGTGTGTTTGTTTGTTGTGTGTAGGTGTACGATATACGTATGCACTTTACGAGAGACGGAGTATATAGTATATACCCCGGCGCGACGTCGCGTCGCGAAAAAAAAGAAAATCCCTCTTCAGGAGGTGCCCGCCAGCTGTTGACGCAGCGACAATAAGCAGCGCGACGACGACGACGTAGTCGTCGAGCGGCAGAAGGAGTCCGATTTCGATGATGCTCGCGGCTGCGGAGAGACGCGATAACGTCGTTCCCGGCGACCCGGCGCCCGTGCCGTCGCCAATGCCGGCACCACCGCGTCGGCGGCACCACGTAGCGACGACGACGACCGTCGCTGCCACCACCACCACCGCCGCCGCGGCGACACTCTAACAACCTCAGACTCGTGACCGTCGCTCCGTCGATCACTCCCCGTCATCCGTGCGCGCGTATCACCGAGTGACATTTTCCGCTCGCATCGTCCGTCTTTCTTCTCCCTTCTTCTTCTATCTCTTCGTTTCCACGGATCGCTGTGCTCTTTCACCGTAACACGACGCCGCGACGACGACTCCCGACATCCATCATCGCCGCCGCTCCACCGTCGCTGTCCACTGCACCACGTCCGTCCAATCGTCCGACCGTGAGGACACGCACTGTCACATTCTTGAAATCGCTGGCCCCCGCGGGATACAGCGCGGGCAACACTCGCGCAGAGAGGCGGTTTAAAGTACGAGAGAGCAAGCGCGAAGGGGGGAGGGGCGGTGGGAGAAACCGGCGCACACGACGAGACGGGATCTGGACGTGTAAAGTGTAAACTCGACGGAGAGGGCGAGAGAGGTCGTACGTATGGCGCCACAGAGAGAACGGCGCTTCTCCGACGACCAAGCGATGTCGGTGTCCCTCCGCGGTGTTACCTCCGAGTTCGCTCCTTTCTACGATTTGCCTTTTTTTCGTCCACTCTTGCTCCTTCTTTTTCTACACGGAGGATTTCTATCGCTCGCGCGACGAATCGTTCCAACGTCGGCGAACGGGACGAACTGTTGCACACGACCGACCGCGGCGCACGCAACCGCTCCGGACTCCGACTCGGCTAAGCTCGGCAACGCGACTGGCACGCACGAGGTTCTCCGTCATGAGCGCGCGCACCGATCTCCACCGCCACCGCCACCGGCACCGGCCGTCGTCGCCCCTCTTCCACACGTCTCTCCTCCGCTACTCGACCGATCCTTCCCCTTCTCCGCGTCTCGCCGCTTCGACGGCTCGTCCCGGCACCGTTCGTTCCGTGAGTTCCGTCTGTTCTATCCTCTCCCGACGGCGCGCCGATACACCGACACCGTAGGCCGTAGCGTACTAAACACACAAGAGCGAAAGAGAGACCGTCAAACATGGCGTCTGCGGTAGCGCTACTAGCGCTACGGTCACCCGAGTAGCGGCGCTGAGGACTCCGCTCGCTCGCAGCGGCGGCGCGGCGGCGCCTCGCCGGATCGAGACACGTAGGCCACGCGAATCAACGCGAATCGGCGAATCTCGGCGAAGCCGAAGCGCCGCCGCCGCCAACCTCCTTCCACTCAAATTCGAATTGGAACTTTTACGGCGTTATGCAAATACATGAATCACCTCGCGCGAATCACGTCTGGATTTGAAATTACCTTCAAATATGCTAAATAATTTTACGTCTCTATTTATTTACATAGTTTTACGTAAACTAAATGTAGCCGCTTAGGAATTACGTCGCGATTTATTTACGTGTTTACGTTTCAACGAAAACGGTCGAAGCTTTCCTCCACGTAAGAGAGCGAGCAGATTTAGGCGATCGCGAATCGTGGGTAAACGGGGAATGGAAGAATAATTTTGCTAAAGTTTTAAAAATTTATATAGGTAGATACAGATTCGAAAATAATTTTATTAGACCGTCAAAATAGTTACGTAGGAATCTTAAAGGGATCCTAAAGTCGTATGTTTTATTGATCGAATACGATTATTTATCTTACAGGTTGTTTTTAACTGCCTACACATTAAGATTAAAAAATTCTTTTCCACAATTTAAGTATAAACGATAGTGTACTCTAAATCGGTTGAATTTATGCCAAAAACGAAAATCTTGGAAAATTATAGTTTTGTTGCCTCTGGCATCGATTCGTATTAATATTTGCTTTATATACAAGTGTTATACTTTGTAAAAACAAACGTGATTTGTATTAGATATCACGTAAACAAATGTTGAGTTCTTGGAATTAGGCTCAGATAATATAAAAGATCAGTTATTTAGAAACTTTGTACATATATGTATGCGTGCAACATGATATAAAAATATGTCAATGACATGTAAATCGTATGTATGGAAGTCCTGTTGAGTCAATAAAACAGACTTTACAATCTCCTTAATGTTGAAAAATGTTGCAAAAAAATTGTGATATTGTAGTAACCAACATCCTATGTTTGAACATCCTACATAATTATTTTGGTGGTCCAACAAAATAATGATGTAGAACTCTGAAATTGGTAGACGGATAATACTTGAGTGAAACGAAACCGTCCTTTTCGTGTAGGAAGCGACGAGAACGTAAGGCCACCGCACCGGTCGCCGTCGTCGCCGATGAGCAGACTGACGCCGGCGTCTCCGCGCAACGTCGCGCGTCGTGCGTCGGCGTCTTGTCAGCGCCAGTCGCCGCGCTGCGTTCCACCTCCGGGGTCAACATTCCAGGACGAATTTCAGTCACGATATCGCACGCGAAGGAGATGTCCCACTCACCGGCGAACACAAAGAAACACCGCGCTATATCGTATGACAAAGGAAACGACTGGGAGACGCCGCGGCGCGTCGCGACGCGCCGGCTACGAATTTTTGGAGAACGCGCGTCGTCGCGCGCTGTTTTTCAAGCTGCCATGACGCAAAGCGTCTCTCGCAACGTACGAGAAAAGTAATCGCGGAAACGAAATATCGCTCTGGAAGTTTCCCGTCTCCCGACGTAATAAAAATGACAGTTATACAGTTACTTTTCTTTTATGTCTATTTTTACCAATGTAGATTAACTTCAAAATAAAATCGGTTTAACTTACTTAATGTCAGTTTAACTTACTTTTCATATCTTTTTCTAGTTTTAAGAATTAGCAAAAGATAGAGAATAAATTATGTTGAAATTATAACTATTAGAAGAAAAAAAGAATTTTTTTTTTTATAATAAATGACAGCTGTATAGGTGACAATTATGAAACAAACGTTGAAGATCCTCACGTACTTACCAAATTTCGTAGATCACCCTGACGACCGCGCTCATTAATATAGAAGCTTAATCTGCAACACAAATTTATTATATATTTTGTTTTATTACCCATATATTTACATCATTCATTTGCTACAACAATGACACAACTCTGAAAACGAAAGTTTTCAGAAAATAAATCTGAATGTTTTAAAACAATAATATTTTGAAATATTAATCTTAAAATACAATTTTGACATAATAAATGTAGAGGAATAAAAGTATATTGTTTTAAAATATTTTTTTCTCTGTTTTTTTCATTTTTTCCGCAATCAACTAATATTAATTTGAGAATGTCGTTGCTGTAACAAATAATTACTTTTCACTGCCTGTTCAAGACTTAACTTTGGGAAATGACGACTGCAGTCCAAGCGGACCAAGATGGACCTGGGAAAAGTTTTGGCTGCGGAACGACAGATGGAAAGATTGTACTATTTTTTTTATCGTTACATCGATATCGTTGCCTAATCGGTCACTTAATAGCGCGTATATACAAATCTTGCAATTCACGTATGTTACCCGAGAGAGAAATATCGCGACGTGTTTAATTGGAATTGCCATGTCGACCAATACGAAAACGAGGCCGAATAGTTGCAGGTCGAAATGCTAAAAAAGGATCGCGAATGGCATACCATTCGATTCACGTAGAACCGAAAGGATCGTCGCTCATAAATTTTCTAATTTTAGAAACTCGTTTCGCACGATCCCATGAACGTAATTTTGTAATAGGCCGCATATAGCCTTCGCCTCGGCGACGGTTTTATGGTTACGGGAGCCTGTAATTTCGTTTTTCTAATGATCAAAACGCCCCCGTCGTAACGTAGCGTGACACGTTGGGCTCCTTCTCGAAGTGTCATTATGTTTCTTCCGATATTCCGATGTCCATATTTCGAAGCTGCCCGGTAGCGACGTTTAGAGAAATGAGATTGTGTCAAACCTGTATTAAAATTGGAATTCTTGAGCGAACATAAAGTGTTCCTGCCAAACATATATATA